GGCCAAATACTGGCTGAATCTCTGCAGGGATTTAAAAAGGACACAGTATTTTAGTATTCATTATCTGTGAGTTTTAATATTAACAGTTTGACTTAAAGGAGATATTTAATCAGCAAGTAGCGCCTCACCTCATTGCCGTAGATGCAGATGTGGTGGGTCGTGGTTAGAGCTTTGAACACGACCACCCAGCTGGCATTAGTGGATCTTTCGAATAGTGTGTCAGCCATCTGGGGGATGTTCACGTTTGTCTCATTGGTGGCTGAGATCAGATCTGCACACAAAAAAAAACACATTTACCAATACTGCACTATGCACCGAAATGTAGATGAAGGACTTTGAGAGCTTTATGATTATTGAACCAGCAGACAGATTCTCAAGGGGAAAATTCATATCCACAATTGCATTATGGAAGCAAGAAACAGCCCCACGGAGATAAACAACTCACTGTGCATTTTTCTTGCACGTAACAACATACTGCATGCAGTGGAATGCATGACGAAAAAAATTAAAGAAATGTTCTAGTCAGAGAGATTGAGGTAATTCAATATTTGATTTTTGAACAAAATCAAAGGAAATCAAATGTGTGTCATGAAAATCTAGTTTCCCAGATTCAGTAGAAATTTTACGTTTAGAAACTTACTGTATATGGAGTGTGAATGTAATCACACTTGACAGGTCTAAATAAAGTCCCTTCCAGAAATCAACTACACACAAGATACAACTGTAAAATTAACTTCTTTCAGACACAATATCATTTTCCAATCAAATGGGACCAAAGAAACAGAACCGAAAAATGGATAAACACATGAAAACATGTCCAGGCTACATTTTACTCATTTTTCATTTTAAGACACAAGATTTTATTTTTTAGCATAAAGCAATGAAGCCATTATTCTCAGTGGTGATTATCATCAGATTCTCAATACTGCAATTAAATGATTTTTAAAACTGAAATCAGCATTGGGAAATTTGGTGGAAAATGTGTTTTATTATCATGAAAACAATGCACAAAAATCTTAATAGTCCTAAAACAGGATTCATTTTCTGTAATCAAAATATATATTTTGTCTTTATTTTGATTTGGAGTGCAGCATGACCCTGAAATCTTCTTGATAGGCTTCACAACTGAGCTTGTCTTAAATACCATATAACATTGTGCTTAGGGTGCCAATATGTTAGTCATGGCGGCTAGAGAACACACTGCAGTGGAGTTAAGAAGCCAAGAATAGTTCAGATTAAAACACACACTGAGATGCAGTGTGTCAACACTAGTGCAATATGTTGCTATGTAATGTCATAATATATTGAAGTATGGCACAGCAATCCCTGTACATATATCAGTTATGAAAATGTGAGCAGGTGCAGCTCACTGGGATTATGGAATTGCTCAAGACGCCGTACTTCATGTGACCGGATTACAGGCAGTGTAAATACAGACACATTGCAAACACACACACACATGCACAGTCATCTGCTAGTCCACATTAATGTGAGCACATGACTAAACGGCTGCTTGGGTCTCATTTCTACTGTATATGTTGCAATCATGCAACATCATACTTATCAATCCTGCCAAATATAAAACAGAAAATGCATCTAAAAAGACAATATTGCATTCACATTTAAATAAACTCTAAGAAGCACATTTTACTGTTAATAATTAATATTTGCAACAACACTGACAGAAAAGCCTAACAACCTGCAACAATTAAAATGTAAAATGCCCATCAATTAACATTTTGTGAAGTGAAAATCTGCATATTTGTAAGAAACAAATCCATCATTAAGGCATTTTAACTCTAAACCGTCGCTTCTGGCCAAAATATGAGTCCATAATCCATAACAACAATTCCTCCAGTGAAAACGTCCATCCCCTGTTGTCCTCTCACATCAAAATCCACTGACATATTTGTTTAGAACTGTTTTTGACTGTTTTCATTTGTAAACTGTGCTTGATCTGTGCATACTTCTCTCCTGATTCATACAAGACAACTTGTTCACCGAAGAAAGCAATATTATGGATAGAGGACTTTTATTTTAGCCAAAAGCAATGGTTGGAGGTTAAAACTCCTTAATGGTGGATTTATTTCTTACAAACAGCTTTTCACTTCATAAGATGTTAATTGATGGACTGGAGTGGTGTGGATTACTTGTGGATTATTTTGATGTTTTTATCAGCTATTTGGACTTTCATTCTGACGACACCCATTCACTGCAGAGGATCCCTTGGTGAGCAAGTGATATAATGCTAAATTTCTCCAAATCTTTTCTGATAAAGAAATAAACTCATCTAAATCTTGGGTGAGTCCATTTTCAGACAATTTTCATTTTTGGGTGAACCATTCCTTTAAACTCAGTCTTTTTAATTTAAAGCAAATGCAGCCTGTCTGTCTTAGAATGAAGACCCTCTTGTGCAAATTGATAGCATGTCATCATGATGTCACTCACTCCTCCCCCTTCCCCAATAATCTACTTCAGTTTCCATGACAACCTCACCAACACCCCTCATGCCTTCCAACTCAACAAACAAATGACTGAAGTAGTAAGACAAAAACTCATCAAACACATTTCCTTGTCATAAACACCTGACACTACTGAAGTAAAATTATATGTATATTGAACAGTGCATCTTCCCACAGGTGCTAAATTGTGCCAAGACCGAATTGATTTCAGAAGAGCCTAAAGTAGGCTGTGATATCAGGAAACATCTTAAGCATCATGTATGATTCCCTGATGAATGGATTGCTAATATTCACACACACAAGGCTTTTGATTCCTCTGCTTGCTCCGTGTGCTCACCTTTGGCTTTGTAAATAATACATGCATGCTTTGGCTGATCGATTTATAATTCAAAAGGCCTTCTCCTGCAGGACACAGAGCTCGAGGCCGACATGAAGATGCTTTGTAGCCTCTCTGTCCTGTCTAAACGCAGTTGATTTCCTTCCGTCTTCTCAGCTCGAGACAAGCCACCCACATAAAGACACTTCCTAGTATGTTCTGTGCTGTCAATTTGCCTTCATTCAGCTTCACACACTAAGCTCCTTATATAAAATGCACCCTAAAAAGGCAGGTTTTCCATTTACAGAATTGCAACTGGTAGCAAACAACCTCACTGAGTGCAAACCATGCATAATGCAGAGCGCTGTGCTAATTGCACGGTAAACACAGCTTCGCTATTGTACGCATTGCGCTGTGGTGCTGAACTGGACAGCGCCAGGTCTTAGGAACGAGGGTGCGTGCAAAATGTCTCACTTACACTCCAGGTGCTTCTTCTTGGGCGCCATCACCTCGTGCGTGGTGGCTTTGCAAACGGCACGAGCCACATCGGATCCGGTGAGCTGGTACTGCGCCGCGGCGATGCGATCCGTCAGAGTCTGTCCCGACATTTTCTCCCGGTAGCGTCGACAACCACCTCAAGAATCAACTTCAGGGGAAAGGACAGCCGAAATGCATATGATATTCGCCGACAAAAAAAGAGACGGAATCCAAGGTGGCTCTCTAGAACTGACAATGTCAATTCCTCGTTTCGGTTTCCAACCGGAGCGGATGAATTTGCGTATTTAAAAGCACAAAATATATATATTCTCAATTGAATCCTTTAAAAAAAAATTCCCTCGTAGGCGTCTAGCATGGGTTGGTTTCAGCACCCTGGATAATGCCTATATTGCGTAACGCCCTACGACGAGCTGATTCCTGGCTCTCGCGGGAAATAAATAAATTAATACGTTAAACCGTCACCTTTGATTATCATATGTATTAAAAACCCCATCTAACTGAAATGACAGAGCGTGTTGCGATTAATTAGTTATTTTTGCGAAGTAATTAATTAAATAAACAAACACAAAAAAAAACGAGTTGTAGAAGCGCTCCGTTGATAAATCCTCTACTATAAAGCTGTTCGGGATTCCGGAGCCTCGGTAATATTCGGTCGCAGCCCGTGTGTCCTTCGCGTCCGGTCGGATGATGATGATGATGATGGTGATGATGACGTGTCTCTTTCCAGCCGTCTCAAGGGCGGGAGTTTGAAGACAAGTATGTTTTCACGTTTCAGAGCTATATCGTGTAGACCTTGGCTATTTTAGTTGCTTCTTTTTCTGCTAATGCAGGTTACGGTCCTGCCTCGTCGGTGGTCGGTGGACCTGGTCAGGTGACGCATACCGGGCTCTTAAAGGGAAGCGGCGTCACGCTGTCACGCGCCTTTAAGGGGCCTGTGCGCGTTCACGGTTCATCTGTCTGCAGAGGTAGATTTTCTGTCACGAGCTTTCAGTGATATTGGGTGAATAGACGGCAGTCAAATGATCGTGTAATGTGTAGATGATCTTTAAGTTTGTCTCAGAATTGTATTACATTTTTGGACTTTTGTTGCTTTTTATGTGCTCTGTGAATAGGCTACGTACAAGCTAGGCTATATTTATCCTTGCGGTTATGGATGCTTATGTGCAATAGCATGATCCACTGCATGTCAAACTACTCTAAACATCAATAGACTGAATGTGAAAACAGCAGCTTCATCATTCGATCACTAGGTGGAGGCAATTCAAAACTATTGATTTCTTTTGCTTACGTTTTTTTTTTTACTTTTAAACTGCCACAACAAACAGTTTAGCCCTTATAAAGGTTGTCTTGTATACCTATTTACCAGCGTAACCATATTTGTAAATTCTACCAGTGAATGCACTAATCTTTACCTTCTTCAGATTGTTCAGATATTTTTCTCACACTATCATTCATATGTCTGCATCGTGTCAGACGGCCAAGAGGAAAGGCATCATGCATTGTGGAGTTAATGCAGGTGACAGAGGCGGTCCCTATGATTATAAACAGAGTCTGCAGGCACAGCTGAGACACATCACGCACTGTCTGTCAAATGCAGAACTTTGTGACTTTTGTAATACATGCTTTTAATGATGTGATATTATGTCAGTTAAGGAAAGCCTTACATCAAAAGCCAAATTTAACTGGTACAACACAAGATATACAGCATTTGATATAAATGTTATGGTCTTCTTCTAGATGTATGATATAAAACATTTTGCTGCTGTCACCAGCACTTATGACAGTGTCCGCATGCTGTTCGAGAGAATTCCAGATCATGAATGAACATAATCATGATCATGAACGATCACTTTAAACGGTGAAGTTATAGTCATGACCCTACATGACAAATACGTTTTCTATTTTTGCCATTTCAGTACTGAAAAGGTTGATTCGTCACTTTTCATCTGATCGACCCATTTCCTCACTTTCTGCTGACACAGTTGCTTCAGAGGGTTGGCTGGGGTCGTGTGTCTCTTTACTCCTGTCCTTCAGTTCCTGAAATATTTTACTACAGTGCTTGATTGTTTGCTTCAGCTCCTGCAAGTCTCTTTGTACTCCCTCCAGGATGTCAAGCTTTGACAGTTTCCTGTCAATTGAGGCCAGATGTCCCTGATTGTTCTCAGTGATGCCTGAACCTTCAGAGTTGATTGGAGTCATGCTGCTGCATTTAGGCTCATTCATAGCCTCCTGCCACACCATCTCAAAATAAGAATCTATAAACGCCTCCAGCTCCTCAATGTTACTGTCACCCCATTGGTCAATTAGGTTCTGCAGGTTCTTTGATTGGATAAAATCCTTAAAGGCACTTTCTTTTGCAGTTTGAGATGTGTAAGGTGTATTCCTGTGGTAATATGGAAGGGATGGCCCCCAAAACCTTTCCCCCTGTGATTCGTTCCTGAATAATCGTTGCACATTCATTGGCTGTTCAGTTGTTGAAACATGGAATGCAGGCCCATCTGTCCTACTCACACCTATCCATGGTTCATTTGGGTGAAACCATTCGGAGGTGTTGAGCACCACTACTAGTCTTTGATGAATGTTTCTGGGTAATGAGGTCCTATTTGATAATCGGATACTCCTGCAGGCCACTGCTTGATTTTCAGTTGGTGAAAGGCTGGAGTCTGTGGTGGTCATTTTTGGATCACTGGATGTAGATGGGAGCAGATGTTCAGAGATCTCAATCATTTGATGCTCTCCTCGAATGTCAGTACCACCTGTTACGAAAAGAGTAATAGACACTTTAAACATCCAGTATCAATACCAACATCCAGTACCAAAATCAAGCAAAAATATAAACCTTTGCACCTAATCAAGCAGTGTTGGGGGTAACGCATTACAAGTAAGGCAAGTTAGGTAATCAGATTACTTTCTTCCAAATAACTAGTAAAGTAATGCATTACTTTTTAGTTTACAAGAAAATCTTCTGAAAGCTGCACCCTCTACTGTACAGACATGAATTTACATTTCCTTCATAAGCTTGAGGGAAAAAATGACAAGAATGTAACTCAAAATTGCAAGATATAAACTTGGAATTGTGAGGGAAAAATGTCAGAATTGTGAGATATAGATTCGCAATTGCAATTGCGAGTCATAAAGTCAGAATTGTGATAAATAAACTCGCAATTGTGACAAACAAAGTCTCAATTGTGAGATATAAACTTCTACTTGTGAGTTAAAATAGTGTGAACTGAGAGATTAAAAACTCACAATTCTTAGAAAAAAAGTCAAAATTGTGAGATAATAAAGTAGTAATTTTGAGATATAAACTGCATGGTGGAAACAAGCTTCCATAATAAAATGAGGAGAACTAATGGTAAAAATATAACAACTCACCATGATGGATGTTTGTAGAGCTTCTAAGAGGTGTCTTTTGCATTTCCCCAATCTGTACCTTCCCACCAAACTTGAATTCGTCATTTACCAAAGGTCGTTGAATATTCCCTCGATTTTTTGCGTTATTTAATATTTGTTCCAACACCATCTCCTCTATCTTCTGCATCAGTTCTGTGACCTGAGTGCCATTGTCTTTGATCTTATTGTTGAAAACCTGATATCTATTTCCACATTTCTCCACCAGCGTCTGAAGTGCATCTCCTTCACTTTCAATATACTGCTCCACACTGACATCACCGAGCCAGTCTCCATGTGTGAACAACACAACAGTGCTGCTCCACGCTTTCCCTCCCAGAGCACGCAGATGGTCCTCTGCTGCTTTCAGTTTCCTTAGCGTAAATGACGAACTGGCATTGACAACCAGCAGGAGGATGCAGATCCCACTAGCTGAACCAGAAACCCAGTCATGGAGAAGTTGCCTTCTGAACTCTGCAATATATGGACACTCAGTTGTCCAGCCTGGTGTGTCCATGACCTCAACTTTTGTCTCACTGAGTATAACAGTACCTCTCATGAGGTTTTGGTTGTCAGCCTCTTGTCCATCATTACCCAAAATGCAATTTGCAGAAGATGTCTTACCAGAGTGTCTACCGCCCAGGAGAAATACTCTTACAACTGAGGGCAACTGTACTTTATCTGTAAAGAGAAAGAAAAAACGCTTACAGGAATAGTTCGTGAAAATTCTGTCATCATTTACTCACCCACATGTCGTTCCAAACTAGTAAGATTTTGGTTTATCTTCGAAATATATTTTGTATGAAATTGGAGTGGTTTCTGTCCCTCTATTGAAAGTCTATGTGACCAAAACTTAGAAGATCCAAAAAAGTGTCATGAGCCTAATCCAGTGGTGCCCAACCCTGTTCCTGGAGATCTACCTACCTGCAGAGTTCAGTTCCAACCTTGCTTCAGCACACCTGCCTGTAATGATCAAGTGCTCCTGAAGATCTTAATTAGCTGGTTAAGCTGTGTTTAATCAGGGTTGGAGCTGAACTTTGCAGGAAGGTAGATCTCCAGGAACATGGTTGGGCACTGGCCTAGTCCATACGAATTGAGCAATTGAATCCAATTAATTTAAGTCCAAGATATGAACACTATAATGAACAAATTTAATTTAGACTTTATTTAATCACATGGATTCGTTTTACAATGCCTTTATGATCTTCAAAATTTTGGTTGCATAGACTTTCAGTGAAAGGACAGAAAACTCCCAGGTTTCATTAAAAATATCTTAATTTGTTTCAAAGATGAATGAAAGTCTTAAGGTTTGAAATGAGATGAGGGTTGATTCAGAATCAAAGTTAATTCAGAATCAAATTTTGTATCACAGTATAATTTATTAGATGATGCTGGAAGGTTCGTGACTTACTTTTAAAAGCTCTCAAGCTTTGTTTTCGTCTGAGCACATTTTCACGCCGGATCTTCGCACTGTCTTCCTCTACTTGCTGTTTTCTCTTCATCTCTTTAAAAAGACTCTCATCTGTTTCCAAGTGGCTTCCTGCTGCCATCTCCTCTATTTTCTCAAGTAGCTCTGTGATCTGGAACTTATTCCCAAGGCTCTTGTTGTTTAGCACATGGTAGCGGTTTCCGCATCTCTCCACGAGCCATTGGAGGGTCTTACATTCGCTTTCAATATACTGCTCTATGGTTGTGTCGCCAAGCCAGTCCCCAAAGGTGAACAGCACTATAGAGTGATTCCAAACGTCCTTACTAATGAGCTCTATGTGCTCCTCAATGGCTCTCCTGTAGATCTCTGTGAATGACCTGTCCACCCGTACCACCAAAAGGAAAGCGTGAGGACCAGGTGGACACAAGTACACACTCTTGACTATTTCCTCTTTGTCAAAAGCTGAAGAATCCTGGGTAAAGTAGTTCATCCACCAGCCAGGTGTGTCTACAACTGTTACCTGTCTTCCTGCCACTGTGAAAGTTTCATTCATGCATTGTGTGGTCCGCTTGTTTGCTATAAAGCTTAGGTCACTTCCTGCTGCTAGAATGCTGTTTCCTGTTGAACTCTTCCCTGAGCCTTTTGCTCCAAGCAAGATGAGTCTTATATTGTGTTGATGAGATGAGTGCACTGAGGGGAGGAAGAAATAGAATGGTTGAGTTTTACAATAAAATGCATACAATAAAATATTACATTTTTGAAAATAAAGGTTCCAAAAGAGGGTGTTTACAGTTTTTGGTTCCCCAAAGAACCTTTAGCTGAACACTTCTTAAAAGAACCATTTTTTTCTTAAGAACATTTTAAAAATCTAAAGAACCTTTTTTCACTATAAAGAACCTATTGTGGAACGGAAAGGTTCTATGGATGTTAAAGGTTCTTCCATAATTGCCAGTAAAGAACATTTGGTTTTTAAGAGTGTAATACCTTATTTTAAAACTCACCCTTCAGAGATCTCTGTTTCTGTATATTCATCAGTCTTTGATGAGCCTTAAGCTCCACTTCCCTCTTTCTGTCCTCTGTCTCCTGTAAAGTCTTTACATCCATTTCAAAATGGCGTCTTTCATTTTCTGCCAACATTTTGTCAATTTTCCCCATCAGTTCCATTACTTGGGTGGCATTGCATGTTTCCGGGGTATCAAAAACATGAAACCTGCCACTACACTTTTCCAGGAGCCACTGGAGGGGTTTACCTGATGCCTGAACATGATCCTCAAATGATTTATTTCCTGCATTTTTGCCCTTTGTGAACAGCACCATAGTGTGACTCCAAACTGCCCCAACGAGGAGCTCAAGATGCTCTTCTATGGCTCTCCTCCTCTTTTCTATGAACACAGAGTCTGTTTTCACCACAAGGAGAAAGATGTGAGGCCCTGGGTGACATATGGAGATGCTGTGTCTGATTTCCCTCCTGACCAGCTCTGGTGTGTCTTGTGCTGAGAAGTCACACCACCAACCTGGCGTATCCACCACTATCACACTTCTCCCTTGCACCTCAGCTTTTCTTTTTAGGCATGTGGTCCTTTCATGGAGGACGAACTCCTCTTGGTTTAAGATAGCATTTCCCACTAAGTTCTTTCCAGAATTTCGACCTCCAAGAAGGATGATCCGCAACTCGAACAGATGCTTCACATTCCCTTGATTAAAAGACAAGTGCGATACTGTATATTTTTAATAATATTTCAGATCAGAAGACATCAGAAGACTAGTAATGGCATCTTCCAAAATACATATGCAGTGTTTCTCTTTTCCTCAAGCAGTAGCAGATTAATAATTCAATAAAAGGACAATACTGTGAGACATAGTTAAAATATAACCTAAAATTACACATCTATATGTGCAAAGATTATACAGACCCAAATATGGCCTACAGCTGTAACTCACACTTCTGAATCGCTGCTAAAAAAAAGTTACACAAGGTACTTTAGTGTGAGAAAATGTAGCCTAAGGGATAAGAGTTAAGTTTAAATCTCCCTCCTAGAACCATTAATTATATGAACATTAGGTTAATTCGGGATAATTGAATTTTTTTCCAGTCATCTCAATGACAAAATGTGTCCCAGTTTACCTGATTTCACCCTAGCTTTTGTCTTTGGACATCCATCAAAATAAATAAAAGGAAATGAAATAATATACCTTTTTCCAAACGCTGTAATGTTTAATTTTTCAACAAACTCATCCTTATTACCTCTCTCTCTTTCCCTCAACAACAACAACCATTAATTATAGTTAACATTATAGCTTTTATCTTCAAGGATATGCGTCAGAATAAATATAAAGAAATAAAATAACTTACTTTGATTCTGCGAAGTTCCTTTTAAGGCCATAATGGGTCATGCAGGTTTATTTTATGCATAGGAGCATTATTTTGGTTATGTTTCCATTGGAAATAGACAAGACTGAGTGAATCATCGCTAGGTGTGTTTTGGAATGTGTAATGTCAGCCTATTCCATGGGTCCAAAGTTTATACTGTAATAAACCTGTGAAACACCAAAATGCCACTCCCTCATACACAACAAAGCCATATACTTTTAAAGTTTTGCTTAGTTTGTGTTTATTCAGAACCCATTTTTCTATTCCCCTTTAATATTTAAAAGGGCGTTGAAAAGGAAATATGAAATATATTGTAACGTCACTATTGCATTTATTATTGTTACTGTCAGGATATCAATGTGAATTTACTAATTCATCTTTGTTGTCATTGTTACATTTTTGTCATTCTTTGTGATTGTTTCAGTTTGCAAACAGAGATTGATCACAGAGAGAAGGGCAACGTTGATTAGCCAGTATAACAACAGTTGAAGCTTAAATCTGAATACCACAAATCAGCAAACCCTCCTCAAGTGAGTGACGAAATACAATACAAACAGAAAAACACAGATAACCTCACAGATAAGCAGCTTGATCATGTACCCCATGAGACAAAAGATCAATCAGCTGAGGGAAAACAACAAAACTCAGAAGTAATGAAGACAGGAGAGATTCCTGTGAAGAGGTCAGGAAAGGCAGCAAAGGAAGAAGTGACCAGAATCTTGAAAGGAGAAATATGGAACTTTTTCTTTGTCTGTGAAAGACACACGTTGACAAAGTGGACAGAATGGACACTGAAGGTGAGACAACATGCATGCAGTTGTGTAGACTGATGGTTTTGTTCTTAAAAAACATTTTTACTCCATCTTTTCCTCAAAGATACAATGAACTTTAATGGCCAATTGTCTGTAGTTATACATCTCATGAAACATGATTGGCTAGCTAGTCAGCTAGGGGAAGGGAGATTCTCATTTGCATTTGGTTAGACAATAGCTAATCTGTAGTATATTTTAATTTAATGGGATCTTTTTGTGTTCCTTACCGGGCATAAAAATGCTGGAGTTGTTGGTTGTACTTTTTTATATAACTTTAAACCATATTTCATATAATACTAGACTCAAGTGTATTCTTTTATCTCATTTTCAACAGTAATAGCGTCTAATTGTACAGAAATGTACATACGTGTTTTTTTTTGTTTCTTATGTAACGGCAAACTACAAATAAAATAGGAATAATTATCACAGTTTTCTTGTTATCATTCCTAATACAATTTAAAATCTGGTCATGCGCCGTTCCCGCTCTTCTTCGCGCCTGCAGCACACCGGAAATTGTCATCACCTCATTTCTCCCTGGTGACTGTCACTTCCGTATGATCGCATTAAGCAACACGCCGCTGCGCTACACACTCACCTAGACACACTAAAGTCCAACCCGCGCTTAAAAACCGGATTTATCACACCGAAATGCATATCAAAACAGGTAAGAGGCGGCTTTAAGGTATATTTTGCTCGATTTGGCTGGTTAATAGTGAAAGTGTTTTGTAATATGAAGTTGTTTGTGCTCGAGTAGTGCGGAATGAGACTTGTGAAACTTTTGATTCTCCATCTTTCTGATGTCACTAGCATCTTTCTTTGTTATCATTTAGATTTTTAATGATCTGAAATTATAAGCAATGGCTCTTATTTAATCCGACGTGTCGGGTTTGTTCTGCTGACCGGTGTAAAGGCGGTTGTTATGGGCGCTAAACATCCAAACACAAGCGGCCTGCTGTTAGCGTTAGCAATCTTAACACGCCAAAATCTCCTTTAAATGTCGTTAATGCTATTCTGACTCATATTTGACGATATAATAATGTCCTAGAATCACAAACACGTTTATTTTGGTCATTTAGACTATATAAAATGCGTGCCAGTATCTACGCTTTGTGTCGTTTCCAGGCTGGTGTAAACTGCGTGAATATAAGAAGGCACTGAAATCACCGAACTGTAATGAGATGTGTTATTAATAAATGTTGTGTGAGTAGGAAATGTTTTACAGATTCGTTTTAGTTTCTGTCGTTAGGCCTCTCTGATTCTGCAGACGTGAATGAAGCGCCGACTAGAAATTTCCAATGACATCTTGCTATGGCTCATTGACTCAAGACTCGTTGCTTTGCTTGGGGCGTTTGTATGCATGTGCATGTATACTACTATATCTTTATTTAGTGGCTGGATAGGCAAAAATCATTATTAGATGAGATTTAAAAAAAAAAACTCAGTGCAGCCTCAAAATAACAATTAATTGTCATTGTAAATCTTTACCAATCTTTGACACTATCCTTCAAACCACTAGGTTTTAAATAATTTAAAAAAAAAACATTTTTCAAAACCATTGAAATATAATTAAATTTAGTATTGATAAATATATCTGTTATGCTGAATGCCGATGGAAGATTTTTCACCAATTAAGTTTTAAATTTTATTTTAAGTTAGGCCTATTTGAAAGGGGCAACGTTTTTATTCAGGAAGTTCTATAATAGATGTTTTTAAAAATGTTTAACCAGGAATAATTATTTTTAATCAGATACTAAATGAAAAATCTTATTTAAAGGGGTCATATGATGCGATTTCAATTTTTCCTTTCTCTTTGGAGTGTTACAAGCTGTTAACGTTGTTCTTCTTTGTTTCCGTTATTGAACGCCGCGCACAAATGACGCCGCTGTCGACCGGCTTACGTCACTTCCTAGTACACACTGTCGGTGCGAATGCAACCCTTTAAATGGTGCTGGGAAATAGTTCGCGCAAAATCGTCCCAGTACTTTAGTATTGTACATTTAGTTCTGGAACTAAAGCGGTGCGAAAGGCCCTATGGTTTTATGCGATGCAATGCGTAAAAAGACAGTATAAGTAGGGTTGGGTACCGAACTCGGTACTTTTAAGGGTACCGACCGAATTGCATCGGTACTACCGAGTACCGATTCACGTTAAATCAATCGGTGCCAAATTTCGGTACCTGAGAACGCATCTGGGCGCATATGCTACAGAGAGCGAAAGAGAGATCCTGTGACGTGATGTCACCCCTGCAACTCGTTCAAACAACACGCAGGGCAAGCCGAAGTGTTCTGAAGTGTAGTTACATTTCTAGGGCCATATGGTTTCTGTGAAAACGCGGACGGGATCGCGGAGTCCATTCATAAAAACGTAATTTACTCTATAGCGCGGAATGCCACGGAATTCCTCAATTTTGGACGAATAAACTACACAAATACTGAAGCACGCGTGACGCTCGCGGTGATTTTATGCGTCTGAGTCTCATTATATGACGGCATGAACACAAAACACTCCAGAGCTGCTGTGAGAGTCACTTTGCGAGAATTTTACAGTGTCATTTGAGAAAACTATAGCATCATCATACTGCATACACACAGAAACTTCATGGCAACCTGTGAAAATAAAAGTACGGTTTAACATGTAACAGAAATGTATTAGTCTTGTATTGCTTTTGTACAGTATAATGTAATATAAATATTACAACCAGATTAATCACTTGTAGAAACAAATAATACAATTATTAGCCTATTAAAAGATGTTTTAAAGGAATATTCACAATTTTTCTTCCATGTATTAATTTCAACAGTAAACCTCAGTTTATTTGTCAAAAAAATAAAAGGGTTTAATTTTCATTTGATTTAAAATAAATGTTTAATGCCTTCATTTGATTTTCAGAAAAATTAAAACAAGAATTTCTAGGGGGGAAAAAAGTAGGGCCCTATTGTTCAAAATGTTGAAATTGACACTTTTGGACTTATTTTTATACTGAAAAATGTTTTTGTAATTACACAAGAGAGTAAGGTACCAAAAAAAGGTACCGTTGGGTACCGGCACCGAAATTCAGGTACCGATACCGGTTCCGTACCGGTTAAAATGTGAACGGTACCCAACCCTAAGTATAAGTCATTATAATCCGTAATTATGTCCCCACTGGATGCAACAAATGCCTCGTTTATAATGGGTTTTAATGTTTTTGTCTCATCGCTCAGGCCGGGGCATGGCATCACAGTATGGTAGGGGCGTAACATTTCCGTCACATGCTTGAGGTATTCGGCCAATCACAACGCACTGGATAGCTGGCCAATCAGAGCACACCTCGCTTTTCAGACCGATGAGCTTTGTAAAAATCGACGTGTTTCAGAAAGGCGGGGCATAGAGGAGAAACAATGTACAGTATGTGGAAAATGTGTTTTTTTAACCTTAAACCGCATAAACACATTTCATTACACCAAATACACCAAATAATGTTCTTTTTAGCAGCATCATATGACCCCTTTAACATTTATGATGTGGGTTGTTTTTCATAACTACTATGTGTTATAACTGTTGGTTTCTTTTAAAATACACTGATCTGGCCATGAAAATAGCCATACATGCTGCTATGGCAATAAAATTAAATAAATAAATATAAAGTCACTTTTGTAAATTTAATTTGATGCAAACACCAAAATGTGAATAAAGCAGCTGGGAGAAATCGTTAGAAGAGTTAATATGGTTGAGATTGCATTAGAAACTCAAGGTTTGGGACACTCTAACATGTTTTGTAACAGTTTGCATGTTTTATCATTGAATTTCATCAGATTTTTTCATTAGGTACTTGGGAGTCAAGCAATGCAGTGTGCGAGTCCGACCCCTTGTGTGATCCAGCCGTCCTAGTGTCACCCCCTAAACCCGAACCACAAATCCGAAACCGTCGCCTCTCCCCCGGCTCTGGCAGCTGCGGTGGGGGAGGAGGAGGCTGTTCCTCTGGGATGGATAAACGTCAAGCCTCACCGAGTAGCCTGGAAGGTTCTCTGAATGGGGTGGGTCACACCCAGACCTTCATGTCGAGAGAGCGTCGCGTCCCGAATAAATCAAGAAGCTTTCGGCGTGACGGCCCGAGACCAGGGCCACGTTCGGATGAGAGACACTCCAGAACCAGACAGACAGAACGATGGGTAGAAAACAGCCTGTCTTTGCTCAAACCTCCACCTGCTTTCCCAGTGAA